AAAAAATTGCCATGCAAAAAATAATTACGCAGAGTCATTCCTGTCATAATCTTTTAGCAGCTGAAGAAACATTTGATTAAAAATCCATTCATAGCTGAAAAAAATTTACCTCGTCTACAGTAGTAGATTCTACAATTTCCTTCCCCTCAACAGGAACAGTCTGCAAAATAGGCTTCACTTCAAGAATTTCTTCAGGAGCAGTTACAGCCTCAACAGCAATGCGCTCAGCTGCAACACGTTCTGCTTCTTTCTTCGCTTCCACCTTGAAAAATTTTGAATGATGATATCTCAAAAAAACTGTTGTATTTAATTCTGCTTCCTTCAAAAACTTCAACTATTAAAATCCCAATTATTTCCGTAAAGACTAAAATAAGCTTTACCTTAGCTTTTTCTTCAGCTTCCCGCTTCAATTTGGCCTCCTTAACAGCCTTTCTCTCTTCCGCTATCGCTTTCTCAATGTTCTTAATCAGGTCAAGTCGTTCTTTATAACTAACTTTATTGCCCTCCAACTCAGTCAGTCTTTGTTTCGCTTGTTCAGCCACACCTTCAGCAAAGTTGTGAATTAATTAGATTCGCAATATCATGGATAAATAGAAAGAATAAACAACTAGATGAAAAAATCCTCTCAATAGAAAAACAGACTTTCCGGAACTAAGGTCAGAAGGGCCCTAAGGCGATCAGCAAATGGAATTTCTTCTGGAAGATATAAAGTACGTGAGAGGAGCAAAAGTGAGGGAGGCACTTTATCGTTTAAGGATAACTCCAACCACTGTCTCATCTAAAAGTCTTATTGTAACTTCAGAACCAAAAAATCAAATTCTCTAATATACAAAGCCAAAAGCACGACGAAATGACCAATTAAATCCTCCCTACCTGATTCCGCAGCCGCTCCTCGCTAACTCCAAGAGAACGCATACCTCTGGCCCTACAAGCTTGCTGTAGCTCTCCGGTGCTTAGTGCTTCAACACCACCCTCTAATGCAATCTCCTGAAATAAATCAAGGTCTAAAAGCACAAGCTAATTTCAATTTTAGGTATTTCCCAAGATGTGCCGAAATTATAAAATTTGAAACGAAAAAAAAAAGATAAAATACACCAAGGATTACATAAACACTTCAAAATTTTTAACTCAAAAAGCCAAGTGACAGCCTCCAAAATAATTTCTCATCAAACAAGCTTCCGTGTAACTGAAGCAAATTTTCAAGTAAAAGACCTCAGTCTCCAAAACAGGTAAACATTAAAAATTTTTACAGACAAAAAGAAATAGAAAAAAAGAATAAAAAATGAACAGTAATAATAATATCAAAAACTAAAACAAACAAAAAACCTTGTCATCTGCTTTCAATTCTCGCAATTTCAGGTGTAATTGAAGCCGAAGGATTTCAGGAGATCCTAACGGTGTTATGTCTAATAATTTACATAATGCACGAAGTGTACCTAACCCAAGATTATCTAGGGTTAACTCATCTTCAAATAATTTCGAATACTTAAACAATTCCTCGGTGGTGACGTAACCCCCTTCCAGTCTGACCTGGAAAAAACTATCAGTAAATAAATGACGTCAATTCACCTTACCACCAAACTACATGTAAAAAAATGCAAACGTAATATCAGTAATTTTCAGTCGGTACTGACCTTTTTAATAAAAGCCGCGAATTCCATAGCTTTACTGTCTTTGCTCCCTTTTGTCTTTCTTTGCAAGCCAATTTCGTCAATCGTATCTTGCAAAAACTTGGCAACTTCCAACTTAACTTTTAAACGTCGCTTCAGTTTTTCTCTCTGAAATAACTATTGCATCAAATCCAAAACCGGAAATAAAGTTATCCGTATCAAATGCAAACGTACAGTTTGGCTTACAAAAGAAATAAGGGAGGAATGAAAACCAGTGCGCCAACCTCTTTTGACTCCTCTTGAAATGTACTGGGAAGCATGTTCGGAAACAGTTTTAGAAAGATCGGAAGGGTAAATTCCATAAATGGAACTATAATAAATATTGAAAAAGGTACAAGACGAAATAAGTCAGAAACGGTCCGCACAAGTTGTTGCCTTTCCTTTCGCATCAATGAATGACCAGTTACTACCCTCCATAAATACCGTGTGCTAAGTCTGGTTTCTAACACTAGCAGACGAAAACCATGATAATAATGCTTCAATTCGTTCATTACACGCTTTGATAAAGGCGGTTTCGGCGCTTGGGTTTCGGCTAACTAAATAGAAAAAAATAGCAATGATAGCGCAAATGCAGGACAGCACTAGTACAGGTCAATAAATACGTCAAAAAAGGGCTTGAATACTGAAATATCAAACAAGAAAAAAGAAACACAAACCTTTTTTGCCGCGTCTTTATCCTCTTTTTCTTGTTGCTGGAGATCTTCTCGTATCATTCTAAGGGTCTCTTCAATTTTGCTTCTGTCGGTTGGCGTATAGCGGCAAACATTGAAGTGTATTTGGCGATAATGTAAAAAAAGAGGGGCTTCAGGGAGAAATGAAGTATAAATAGAGTGGCTGAAATATTTTTATAAAGTGAATACACTGCAACGAAAGTGAATAATAAAACCTATTCCAAATACTACTATTGCCTACAACTGTTTGAAAAAGTGTCTGCACGGTTAATAAAAAACGATCTGACGAAGTTAACTGCAAGGAAAAAAATATATATACAACAAAAAAAAAAAATATAACAAACCTATTTCTGTATAAATGATGTTTGCATTTAATGACATTCCAAAGAACTCTTGGAGTTTTTCGATACATCCCACCCCTGAAGATTTATTAGTTAAGTGAGATACAACTGCAGAATTTACAACCCTTTAAAATAACTACCTATACCAAGGACAGATGTACCAATTAATTACAAAGATAAGAGCAC